ACTGTTTTCTCGATGTCATTTTTTCAAATTCGTTTAGTGTGCGAGAAGGGTTGAACGTAATTTCAGAGAAGAGTGAGGGCTCAATATTGTCAAATTGATTTTTTACACTAGATAACGTTTTATTGATGTGTCACCGTTTTTTTAATTCTCTCAAAAATTTCAAATATACCTCTTCAATATTGCTTGGAGAGAGCGTAAAAATCTTATAAAATGTCGAAAACCGCAGCTCAATATCTTTATTCGCTCAATATCGATATATATACAGCGTGTCCGCAAAGTTGAGGTTTTCCTTTTCAGAAACAACTACCCTTGAAATAACAAAGGTAATGTGTAGTGAAACGAGGGCGACCAAGTAAAAAAAATAAAGGAAACAGTACTCACTCTCCAGTTGACGAGAAGGGCTGAGTACGTCTCTGCCCGAAATCATACCGCTCCAACAGAAAATGAAATCAGATGATGCGCTACCGAGCAGACGCAGGCGGTGGTGCAGACCACGAACAGAGGTAACAAATATGGCGGCGTTGTCGCGTTTTCAGTTTTTAGCTAAACGTACTTTATAGGTATCGTTCGAAGTTATCGCCGTTTGATTCAAAAACACAGGTGTGTGCACGACGTAGCCAAGCATCGGAGCAGGCTTTGAGAATGGAGTCCCTCCGCTGAATGAAAGCACCAGCTTGTTCAATTCTGAGACGAAGTTCGTCAACCGTATGCACTTCAGTTTTGTACACTAAGCGTTTCATTTCTCCCCAAAGAAAAAAATCACATGGTGTTAAGTCTGGAGATCGGGGAGGCCACGCTACGGGTCCATTACGTCCGATCCACGTATTCGGAAATAATTCATTCAAAAACTCACGCACTTCGCGTCCAAAATGGGGCGGTGCATCATCGTGCAGAAACCACGTTGATTGTCTTACATTTAATGGCACAACTTCTAACAAGGAAGGCAAAATGTTGCATAAAAAGTCTAGGTATTGCATCCCGTCCAATCGATTTGGGAGAATAAGTGGTCCAATGAGCATACCGTTCACCATGCCAGCCCAAACAATCACCGAAAATGTTTGTTGAAAATGTGCCCGACGGACAGCGTGCGGATTTTCTACTGACCAAACATGAGTGTTGCGAAAGTTATTCACCCCATTACGCGTGAACGTAGATTCGTCTGTCACAAATATGCACTTCAAAAAGTCCGGATTATTGTCATGTTGATGCAACAACCACTCACAAAACCGCACTCTTGCTGGAAAATCGTCAGGTTGAAGGGCTTGTACACGTTGGACGTGAAACGGATACAGCCCCTCTTCACGCAGCGTTTGCCACACTTTAGTTTTTGATACTTGCACTTCTCTAGCCACGTCTCTAGTGCTTGTTGAGGGATTCTCGTCTACGCGATTACCTCTACACGCGTGACCGTAACCGTCGGTTGAAGGTTGCATACTGACCTGACACACTGACCCCGACCCAGTTCTGTCGTCGGGTTGAGCCAGTGACATTGTACCAGTCGGTGATGTCGCGGCTACAGGACGGTATTCAGATATTTTTGATGTTGCAGAGCCCTTTATCTCGGTTTCCTTAAGACATTCGTGTATATGGTACTAAGAAAAATTGCTTATGTTTTCAAGATCTACACGTCGTGTAAAGGAAAACCCCAACTTTGCGGACACCCTGTATATATATATATATACAGGGTGACTTTGAAGTTGAGTCGTTAGTTTTCAGTTAATGATTGTAGAAGGAAGATAAACCAAAATATGTGTGTAAAAATAAAAAAAAAATTAAAAAAATTTGTTTACCTTGTTTTATAAAGTATTCTCCCGACAAGTATTTCAGTGCGGACCTGTATTTGATCGTGAGGTCTTGGAGCACCGGCATGCAGTCCCCTGTGTGGTCTTAAGTCACCTGATTCACGAGCCCGTTGTACTACATTAACAAAGGCACGAGGGGTTGGTTGCACTCGATTGGGAAATCGATCCGCATAAACATGTGCCATTTTTTATTTCGTTTGAGCCACGCAACAGACACTACTATTCACTGACACTGACTGTATACAAATGAATAAAATAATTGTAAAAACATCGTTCCAAATTCTTTTGCTTTTTTGTTTCCGATGCGATGAACCGATACGGCGGATTATATCCGTTGTCGCCAGACACGAGCACATATTATTATTGAGACAGGGCGGTACTCAAACTTCCAAAGGGCTATAACTTTGTTACTTTAATTTTACCAGAAAAATGGTAAAGGAAAAAAACATTTCTTTTGATCAGATCTACTCACTGTTAAAATAAATGACTCAACTTCGAAGTCACCCTGTATATGAAGAGGAAATGATCATGCGGAGAAAGGTATATAACAAAGAGTAGGAAAATAATGGGCAAAATCCGCCAAAAGGGGTAAAGTTCGAGCAGAAAATAGGATAGGTAACCCGAGCGATACGTATTTCTGCTGGTTGGCTTTATCAGGCCCGAGATGAATGCGCATATGCAACTACAAAAGCAGATACACATGCCCACACATCCGGACACGGGTTTAACCTGAGGAAACGAAGATGGAGAGAGAAAAAGTCGACAGACGAAGTCCACAACAAGAGCCAACCTATATATATATATATATATAAGATGTAAAGTACGCTTAAATTACAATTTTCAAGTACTACTGGATACAAAGAAAAATTCAAGCTATTAATAGTTGTGAAAAATATATCAATACGAAACAAACATAAGAGACAGGTTTTCGTTATTGTAGAAACCTTAAAAGAAACAATTCAAATTGGGATCACAGTATTCCAACATGCCTTGCTTGTGCGTAGAAGTAAATTGTTGCATTTCATAATTACACATTAATAAAATTTGACATTGAGTATTTATTGAGTTATTTATGCAGAAAGTATTGATTTTTCAGTTACAGACAAGTTATTCCTTTGATGCATTTTCTAGTTTTTGGATCTGATATGACATGTACATCGCAAAAAACCATACCACTCATCCTCATCGATCTACTTGTCTGTCTGTCGGTTTGTCCGCCTTTAACTTGAGAAGTACCGCTCAGCTTTAGATGAGATTCTCATACAAGGTTACTAGTATACCAAGGATGAAATAGCTTTGTAGTTTTTGAAAATTAAATGATAAAAGTTCGATGTATAATGTGCTCAAGTGGTCTGCGGTGGTGTCGTCACTGACACGCCGCTACAGGAGAAACATTTATATACTTTAGCAATATTTGGTGATTAGGAGTGCGTACCGCTTTAGCGTTCTGCGATGCTTTTGTTAATGATAACTTACGATGTGTCCCTAAATAAGAATCGAAAATAGATATAAAAAACCTCAGCTAGAATCAACTTTGAATAATACGCTCTCATTTGATCCACCCACGTATTTTCTTGGATCGTAAAATCTCGCACACCCGGAAGAAAATCATCAAATGGATTCTTCAGACCGTTCCTGCTTGAAACGTCTTGTCTGAAAAAAAGACAGTCCAAGCTTATATCAGCAAACTCTCACGATTCACATGGAACGTTCGATTTCAGCATTTCCACCGCTGCACTGTCCTGGTAGCTGCTTTGATTACGACCACCTTGAACCCGGATTACGTGCCGCTTGAATAATAAATATCACAGTCGGTTGTGAAAGGAATCGTACGTCACTCCATTTATCAACTGTTCTCTGGTGCTTTGTTCGAAGTTCCCACTGCGATATTTTTCCACGTAAGGCGCTATTAATGCGTTCTTTTCTTTTGCACGTTTCGTACAACTTCCGTAAGTGGAGAATTAAAAAAAAATCCGTCAAGAAGATTGGATCTACAATTTCTATGCCTGCGTTGAAGATTTCAAAGAAAATTGATGCGTCAAATCGTTTCAAAAGGTGAATTTGAATCGTGATTAGGTAGGTTCGCTAGGATGAATCTTCGACCTGTGCGTGTCAAACCATATAAAGCATTGATTCCCAAAGTAGTCTATATCGACCGCTAGGGGTCTATGATAACCTGCAAGGGATCTACGTCAGCGAAAAAAAAATTGGGGGTGCATGAAATGAATATGGGGGTCCACGATAGTGGATCTCAACACATACACTGATAGTACCTATTTACTTACATCATACTATCTTATAATATCAAAACATATACATTATTTATAAAAGTACCTGAGGTAAAAAATTTATTATATATGTTTACAAAATTGTGTAAGTTGTAGGATGTTGGTATTCGCTTCGTGGTCGCAATACACTTTGAACTTGTAAAAACCTGAGAGTCGCAGTCTCAGAGCTTCGCTACCTTGCACTGACTTGTTCAATCCGTCACTCTATAAATACGAATGTGGGACAAATACGTTTATTCGTTTCCTGAATCTTGAAAAGGAAAGTGCTAAGAAAATATTTAAAAAAATATAAACAGATAGTATATCACACAAATTATAGTGAGTCAGTGTTATTTTGTTTGAGAGCGCTGGAGAAAAGTAAGTACATTATTTTTTATTAAATTTTAGTTTTGTACTCGTAGTTAGCAAAGATAGATAAATTACGCCAATCATGACTTTAGTTATTAGTAGTTAAATATTCAATCATGCAAAATTGCACGAGTACTCCTCAATAGTTTCTTTTTGAAAGTTTTAGCAATCGGTAATATAATTACAGTGCAATCTCCGTAATTCGAGCTAATTGTTGCAAGAAGATGTTCGAATTATGGAATGTTTTCGGAAAGATCAAAAAATATTTTAATATACAGCTGCTGGATTTTCTGTCTGTTAGATAATTTAATTTTGCCCACAGATGACTGATGCCATGTTCGAATCTAAAAAGAAATGTAGACAGTACAGTGTTGATTATTTGAAATTTGGCTTCATTCCATCATTGCCGGACAAACAATCGCCTATGTGCCTTTTATGCAACAAAGTTTTGGACAATGACGCTATGAAACCATCTAAACTGCAAGATCATCTGAGAAGATGCCACCCTGATAAAACAGAGAAAGATTTGAAATACTTTCAAACACTCAAAGATAAATTTCAGAAGAGACCTACAGTGGACAGAATGTTCGCTTCGACATCACAAAGAAATGATGATGGTTTGCGGGCGTCTTACAATATCTCGTTACTTATAGCAAAATCCGGAAAACCGCATACTATCGGAGAGAAGTTAATTTTGCCTGCCGTTGAAGAGGTTTTAAAAACTGTTTTACACAAACCTGCATCTGATATCATTAAAACAATTCCCTTAAGCAACAATACTGTTGAAAGACGTACTGATGAAATGAGTTCTGATATTGAAAGCTTCTTATGTAGTTATTTGCAAACGACCCATTTCTCTATACAACTGGACGAGTCAACTTTACCTGATAATGCAGCATTATTATTGGCATATGTTCGTTTTATTATGAATCAAGAAATCTACGAAGAACTGCTCTTCGCAAGAACTTTGATAACCGACACTCAAGGTGAATCAATATTTTATGTTTTGAAGGATTACTTCATTGAAAAAGCAATTCCTTTATCAAATATAATATCAGTAGCTACAGATGGAGCACCTGCCATGGTTGGACGTTATCGCGGATTTATAAGCAGTATAACACAGTGTATGTGGTGTAACACCTTCTTTTATCGTCGTGTCTGTTTTTGCTTACTATAGTGGGTTATTTTTGAGAGACAATTTTCAAATTTGAACCAGTGCTGCATCTACATGTGAGCAATTTTTATAAATTATACGCTGAAAAACTGCAACTCAGAAACACTGATTTTGAGGATTAATTACAAAACGCAAATAAGTACACAAAAAACAGCACGAGAAAAATCGACAAAAACGACCAGTGAGTATATTCCTAACCACCATATATTTACGAAAGACAAGATAACAAATAAGAAAACAAACAGGACCGTATCCAGTTGAAAATGGTAGCTAGGTTCAAATGTTGCAAAACAAAAGAAGCTCTTTCTTATTTTTGCATATCATGCCATGCAATTTTTCACGCGAGCTGTGCAAATAGATTGAGTTCAATTGTAAAGCTCTCAAATAACAGAGTATATTGTTCTGCTGCCTGTGAATCGGAGGATAACGAGCATCGAAACTACGATTCTTACACTACAGAAATTAACTCATTAAAGCACGAGATACAAGATAAAGAGAAACATATAATTAGATTAACGAAGAAGGCCAAGGATTTTGAAGAAGATGTTTTTGAATCTGAACAAAGTTTCATAGAGGAGCAAAATTCTTTTAAAGACCAATTGAAAAACCAAAAAGAAAGAATGTGTACACTACAAAAAGAAATAGTCGACGCAGAAGAGAAGAACAAAAACCTTCAGAAACAGATGGACAGTTATGAACAAATGACAAAAGACATGCAAACAGAGATGACGAAGCTAAAAAATATTCATGCCGATATGCTGAAAACCATTAGTCTTTTGGAAGAAACAAACAATGCATACTCAAGGAAAATAGGCGAATTAGAAGAAAGAACAAAAGAAGACAGGTGTCGATTGTCGGAGAACACTGAAGGAAATGCCAACGATCAACAGAATATATTAGACGATAGGGATAAACAGCTGACTGAGGAAAATGTATCTTTGTATGATGAACTTTTTAAACAATCCAGGAACAGTGCGAAGACTTCCAAGAAACTGCTCATTGTGGGCGATCAATTGGCCAGAAACTGCGCTAGAGTCTTACATAATTCAATGAAGAGCATAGGCTATATAGTTGAAGGAATTGTTAAGCCCAACACAGAGGCTGCAAATATCACAAGTAATATTTTCACTCAAACTATGGATCATGGACAAAGTGACTATGTAATTATTGTTTTCAGCACAAAAAACATAAGCAACCACAAAACATTGAACAGTTTTCTTAGAAATGTATTACCACTGGGTAAATTTACAAATCTAGTAATTCTTCTAAGTCCGAGCCTGTAGATGAAGCCTTAGCAGTTCTATTGGAAAACAAAATAACTAGTTATATTAAAAATAACCCTAACTGTTCAGTGAAGTTATTAGTAGTAAAGAATGGTTTTCGCAAATCACTGGCAAACATCATAAGAAGTCATGTGCAGACGAGCTGCTCTACCCTCAAAAGAAACGTTTTGTTATCGCCTCCAATAATTCCAATTTATAAAATGGAACGTCGAGTGCATTGCAACAGTGAGAGTACTGGTGCTTTTTTACTGGCCAGTGGGAATCCGATACTAATCACCTAGTACGACATGATTCGGGTAAACAGAATATATCGAAAAATTCCTTATCACACGCTCGCGCCTGTGAAGTGCGCACGAATGATTGTCGGTATAAACTTTTACATTTAAACGTACAGTGTTTGAGAAACAAGGTTGATGAACTTGAGTTGGTGGCAAAACAGCACAGTTATGACTTTCTTTGTTTGAATGAGCATTGGTTGACTTGCGATGAGATTAATACTCTGAATATTTGTGAATATATGAATGTGTCTAGTTTTTGCAGGTCAAGCAAAATCCACGGTGGTGTTTGTATTTATGTCAATAATAAGTTTAGTGCTAAGCCTTTGTGTGACAAAGTTTTAAACATTTCTGAGGAGTTACACTTTGAGGTTGCTGGTGTCACCTGTTTGGATGGCACACAAATTCTAACCATATATAGATCACCAAATGGAGACTTCAATATATTCTATAATAAGCTTCAAATACTACTTAGTACTTTAGACTATAAGCAAAATATAATCATATCTGGTGATTTTAATTTTAAATTTAACACTCACGACAAGCATGCCAATGTGATGTGTGATATTTGTGTTTCTTTTGGACTGTATCAGACTGTGAATGTGAATACTAGGCAGAATGCTTGTCTAGATAATATTTTCACCAATATAAACATGTCAAGCATAGTTGTAGAAGCCTTTGATACATGTTTTTCTGACCATTTAGGTATTGCATTTCATTTTAATTTGAAAACTCTAAAACCTGTTAGGAAGAGAATAAACTACAGGCCTGTCACTGATGAAGGTCTTTTCAAGTTATACAGTAAAATTGAAACAGTCGACTGGATCTTTTTGTCTGATATTAGTTTACCACTGACCACTAAACTCGAACGATTCATGAACATCGTAACAAATAATATCGCTGAGTGCTTGCCAATCAAATCTAGGTTGGTATCAGAGGGTTGTCGCAACAAAATCAACTGGTTTGATCACGAATTGGCTCATATGAGAGAGACTTTGGAACTAATAACACAAATTAATAAAGATAATCCCCAAGTAGTATCAAAGAAGGAGATTAATGTCTTCAAATCGAAGTACCGATCAGAAATCAGAATTAGGAAAAAAAATGCTCATGATAAATATATACGTAGAGCGTCAGATAAACAAGCAGCTATGTGGAACGTGATTAAATCCAATGGTGTGCAATCATCAAAAGCACATTCGTCTACTCTCAGCGCGAATGATTTAAACTCTTTCTTCGTCAGCATTGCTGATACCATTATCGCTGAAATTCCAGCTACCCAGTCGAACTTCAAAGATTTTATACAGACTAGTGATACACTACATTTCAACTTTCGAACTGTTTCATTCAATGATGTTCGAGACGCAATCAAAAGCTTAAAGAATTCTAAAAGTAAAGATCCATATGACATCGATGTTAAAATTATGAAGACCTTAAATAACTTGTTAGTATATCCTATAACAAAATTAATAAACATGTGTATAGAAAATAATGTCTTTCCTGCCTTATTAAAACTTGCAAAGATTGTGCCACTCTTCAAGAAAGGCTGTGAGAATGATCCATGTAATTTCAGACCCATCTCTATAATACCAATTATAGCAAAAATTTTCGAAATTCTTCTGAAGAATCAGATATGTGAATACTTCGAAGGTAACAATTTATTCTGTAACAACCAGTTTGGATACCGTACCAACAGATCAACGAAAGCAGCAATAAACAATTTTATCAGTTTCATCAACAAATGTCTGGAAGATAACATGTTTGCCCTCGCTAACTTCTATGATCTTACAAAAGCATTTGATTGTGTCCAACATCACATTTTGATTCAAAAGTTGTCGCTGTATGGTTTTAGTAATAATAGCCTGTCCTTAATTGCGTCTTATTTATCAGATAGAAGACAGTATGTTAGTTTTCAAAATTGTTTATCCAACAATGTGCATATTAAGCACGGAGTTCCCCAAGGAAGTGTCTTGGGACCGATTCTTTTTTTGATCTACATCAATGATCTGCCAAACTGTAGCATCAATCAGTATATATTATTTGCGGATGACACGACATCAATATCCTCCAATAGTAACTTTGATCATGTATTGCTCGATTCTCAGCAGCATTTTGACAACATTCAAAACTGGTTTAATGCCAACAGTTTGTCAATCAACATAGCGAAAACTCAATCTCTTCTACTCAGTACTCGTCCACATAGAAGTGATTTAGTAGAGCCCGTGAAATTTCTTGGAGTGATTATTGATGCAAGCTTAACTTGGGAATCACACATCACTTCTTTATCAAAGAAGTTATCTAAAATAACATATATGATACGTAGTTTAAATACCTACGTAACAAAATCGACTTTAATGACAGCCTATTACGCTTACTTCCAATCTAACTTGCAATACTGCATACTGATTTGGGGACATTCATGTCATGTATCGAAGGTGTTTGCTGTTCAGAGACGATGCTTGAGAATAATAGCAAACTTATATTTCAGACAGTGTTGCAAGACGACATTTATCGACCTAAAAATTTTAACTGTGCCATGCATATATATACTGGAATGTCTGATCCACGTTAAAAATAATTACGATGATTACAGAACTCCGAAAGAGATTCACAAATATAACACAAGGTTCAACAATGAATTAATACCAGAGTACACAAGACTTTCAAAAACTAGACACGGAAGTAATTATTTCGGTGTGAAATTTTTAATGCGCTGCCCAAGTTTTGTCAACACTCAACTCAACCATTTTTTAAAGCAACTGTGAAAAGATATTTAGTGACGAAAGCTTTTTACAGCATAGATGAGTTTTTAAATAATGATTTTACCGACTTTGTTCAATAATTGTTGACTATTTATTACTTTGTTTTCGTTTGTTTTTTTTTATGTGTTATTTTTGTATTATATTTTATCGTTCTCCAGACGTGTGTAAGGACATTTGAGTACAAACATGAAAAAATGATTAGTATTCATAATTTTTTAACCATCTTATTTTATTGTTCCTCTAAATTTTAAAATAGTTTTATCAAGTTTTTTTACCTTTTATTGCCACTTTGTGTTTTACGTTTGTCTTATGTTCGATTGTTTGTTACTTTTACTTACTCTTTTATGTTCGACTTTAAATGACCTGTGCAAACACATTTTTGTGTAATAGTACCAATAAATTATTATTATTACTATTATTATTATCATCATGATCATCATGATCATCAACATCGGCGATGGTTTTGCCGCTCAGCACTTCATACCCGGCGTGATGTACCCACCTGCCCTTCTCCATCTCCGCTGTCCTACATTGTCCAGCCCAAATGACATTTTTATGTCGCGACTGAATCGGGTGACGCAAGTCAGAAGGTCGTCAAGGTGTTTTTTAGACTTTGCATACAGCTTTAACTCTCCTGTACCAAAGGTGACTAATAATTCCTTAGTCTGAGTGTGGCAGTATAATAACCTTTGCGCTGCCTATTCAACATAATTGTCAGGGGTCGCAGCGACAGACAGAACCATTATTATGATGATTATTATTATTATTATAATTAAATATTATTATTATTATTATTATTATAATTATTATAATTATTATTATTATGATTATAATTATTATAATAATTGTAATTATTATTATTATTATTATTATATTATAATTATTATAATAATTGTAATTATTATTTGTTTATTTTCCACACCCTATCTATTCAACTGGTTCTGTCCATGTGGGGCCGGTTTTGGTTGGTCATTTTCATTATGGTACTTCGAATATGTTACCCCACATCCTAACGAAGTCCATTACCTTATAGTGTCTTACGTAATATGGTTGCTGTACCATACAAAGCAACTCTCCTGCACGTCTGCTGCCCTGTGCCTTCCTGGTATGAGATTTAGGTTTTCATGTAGATTGTCTGGATCGTCCCTAATGCACCTAAATTACGGGAACTATCTTCGTCCTCAGATTCCACATTCTTTGGATTTCAATTGAGAGATCTTTGTATTTCAATTCTTTTCAGCTTCTTTGTTTACAACGTTTTTCATCGTTGGGGACTGAAACATCTATTAGCAGGCAGGTTTTGTCACGTTGGTTTTTGACGATTATGTCTGGGCGGTTCGCGGATATCTCACGATCTGTTTTGCACTGGTAAGTCATATATTATGGTAATCTCATCTTTACTAACTACTGGAGTGGGGTTGTGATTATACCATTTTCTTCCACTGCGATCTCAAAGCTTATACAGATGGCATGATGCAAGTATATGCATATTTTATTATGTCGGACCAAGTACTCGTGCTTCGCCAGTTGAGGACATCCGGATATAAGATGATCTATTGTTTCTGAGTATTGTTTGCACATTCGACATCTATCATTTGCTGTTATTTTGAGGATATGTTTCTCATAATGTCTTGTACGTAAGGCCTGGTCTTGGGCGGCCCTTATCAGGGCCTCTGTTTCACCTTTTACCTTCCCTCTTGTGAGCCACGCAAACGTTTGGCATTCATTAATCCCTGGCCTCTTAATTCTCTTCACGTATTGACCATGAAGCTGCTTTCGTATCCATTTATCCTTCAAGGTCTTCCTTGTCATGGACTTAATATCTGTAGACAGTAATCTTCTTCATCCTCGACCGCTTGATTTCTATTTCCGGTAAATGTGTCTTTACAATTTTATCGCTGA